CTTTTGTCCTTTTGGGGGGGGGGGCGGGGAAGATGCTTTCTGGGCTTGCTCTGGTTTGCAAAGGGGGGGGTGGGTGGATTCGATCAGTCACAGTTCAAAACAAACCAGGGTTTGTGTGGATGCTGGGCTAGGTTAGTGCGACTGAGTTTCCTGGCTCTCCCGTGGAGGGTTGTGGGTCTCCTCTTGCAGGGGGTGTGAAGTTTCTCCCCCCTCTCCATTCTTTCTCTTGCTCTCTCATTCCTTCCCTCTTTCTCCTTGCTTTTCTCCCCCTCCCTCTCTTTTTCCCTCCTTCGTTCTTCTCTCTCGTCTTTCTTCCCTCCTTCCCCTCTCTTTTTCTTTCCCTTTCTCTGTTCCTCTCCTCCCTTTCATTCTTTCATTCTCTTCTCTTCCCTCCTTCCTCTGTCTCGTTTTCTCATTCTTTCCCTTTCTCCGTTCCTCTCCTCCCTCCCTTTCATTCTTTATCCCTCCCTTTCTCCTTTCATTCTTCTCTCCCCTCAATCCTGTCTCATTTTCTCATTCTTTCTCCGTCTCCTCCCTCCCTTTCTTTCATTCTTTATCCCTCATTCTCCTTTCATTCTTCTTTCTTCCCTCCTTCCTGTCTTTTTTTCTTTCCCTTTCTCTGTTCCTCTCCTCCCTTTCTTTCATTCTCCTCCCTCCTTCCTCTGTCTCATTTTCTCATTCTCTCCCTTTCTCTGTTCCTCTCCTCCCTCCTTTGTTCATTCTTTATCCCTCCCTCATTCTCCTTTCATTCTTTCTTCCCTCCTTCCTGTCTCGTTTTCTCTCATTCTTTCCCTTTCTCCGTTCCTCTCCTCCCTCCCTTTCTTTCATTCTTTATCCCTCCTCCTTTCATTCTTTCCCTCGTTCTCTTTCTCCCCTCCTCCCTTTCATTCTCTCATTCCTTTTCCCTTTCTCCTTTCCTCCCTTCCTTCCCTCTTTCATTCTTTTCCCTCCCTTTCCTCATTCTGCCTCATTCTCTCTTTCTCCCCTCCTCCCTTTCATTCTCATTCCTTTTCCCTTTTTCCTTTCCTCTCCCTTCCCTCCTTCCTCTCATTCNCCTCCTTCCCTTTTCTTTCTCCTTTGCTTTCTTTCACTCCTTCCCTTTCTTTCACTTTTTCTTTTGCTCTTTCACTCGTCTCCTTTCTTTTTCTGTCTCTCCCTCCCTCCTTCACTTTCTCTTTTTCTGCCTCTTTCACTCTTCCCCTTCCCTATTTTTCTTTGATCTTTCTCTTTCACTCTTCTTTCTCTCTCCTTCCCTCTCTTCCTTTCTCAGTTTTTTTCCCTCCTTTCTTTCACTCTTGCTCTTTCTTCTCCTTTTCTCTTTCTGTCTCTTTTTCTCCCTCCTTTCCTTTTTCTTTCTCCTTTGCTTTCTTTCACTCCTTCCCTTTCACTCTTTTTCTTTTGCTCTTTCACTCTTCTCCTTTCCTCTTTTTCTGTCTCCCTCCTTCACTTTCTCTCTCTCTTTTTCTCTTTCACTCTTCTCCTTCCCCCTTTTTCCTTTCCCACTTTATTTTTCTCCCTTTCTTTTGCTTTCTCTTCTCCTTCCCTTCTGTGTCTCTTTTTCTTCTTTTTCTCTCTCCTTTCTCTTTTGCTCTTTCTGTCTTCTGCCCTTTTTTGTCTTTCTCTTTATTCTTTTTCTCTTCACTCTTCTCCTTCCCTTTCTTTTTCTGTCTTTCTCTCCCTGTCTTTCACTTTTTTCTCGTTCTTTTACTCCTTCGCCCCTTTCTTTCCTTCTCTCTCTTCTTTCCCCCTTTTTTCTTTCATTCTCCCTCCCTCTCCCCCTCTTTTTGTCTCTCTCTCTCCCTCCCTCTCTCTCTGCCTCTGTCTATATTGCTCTCTGCCTCCCTCTCTCTCTCTCTCTTTCTCTTTCTTTCTCTGTATCTCAGTATCCGAGTCCAACGGAGCCCCCAGCACCAGAAGCAGTCTACCCCTAAATTATTCCACCCCTCCCAAGATATTTCCCTCTGCCAAATTTCTCTCCGGGGACCAATTCAGCCCAACTTTCACGGAACATTTCGTCCTGTCCCAACATTTCCTGGATCAGAAAAACAAGATTTAAAAGAAATCCCAGCTGCCTCCCCCTCTCTCCCCCCCCCACCGAGTTGGGGAAGGAGGCTGCTGTGGCCATAAGTGCGAGGACCAGTCGCAAGTCCCTTTCCCGGGGGTGGGTGGCTGGGGAGGACCAATTTAGCTAACC